CACACACACACACACACACACACACACACACACACACACACACACACACACAATGAATACAGTGAATAAATAGAATCATATAGTTATAATAGTAACTATCAGTAGCATCATTTCGGCTTCTCATCAGCACCATGGACAGCAACCCTAGTCAGAGGTTGGGGGTAACAGGCATATTTATTTAAGCTTATGCTATAAACTCATGCCATCTTCTTCAACTAGACAACCGTAAACCTAAACCAGGTTTAGCCATGCTGACGTAACTGTACCCTAATGTATATAACAATGGAAGAAATGAGGAAAACACACTGACCACAGGTCCTCATAGACTGGCTAGACAGGGTTATCATACCAAACAAGCACATTCATTTTAGAAAGCCCTTCTAGGTATGTTACACACACATATTACAGTATGAATGCATACATTCAATACATAAATGGTAACAATGCTTCAGTTCTTTACAAAACACAAACTACATGTCACCAAGTCTTGGAACTCGTGCTGTCGTATTCTGTTCTTCTTATTTTGAGCTCCACTGTTTTGATTCAACTTGCCAAGCATATTGATGCTGCACTGACAAACTATTGTTTTTCACTAACTGTATTACAAACTGTTGCAGAGCTGATGTCAGCAGGTTCATGTGCATTTTCCACAAAATGACAGAGAGCAAGGTGAAAAAATGCAAGTAAAATCCCAATTTAAAAAAAAAATTGGCACACTGTGTAAGAGGAAAATAAAAGAAGGCAATGATTTGTAGAGCTCATATATTCATATTTTATTCATAATACAATATAGAAAACAAATGTTTAAACGTTACTATTTCATGAAAAATATAACCTCATTTTGAATTTCGATGTCAGCAACGCATCTTAAAAACACTGGAAGAGGACAACAAAAGGCTGGAAAAGTAAGTGGTACTAAAAAAGAAACACCTAGAGGAACATTTTGCAACCAATTAGGTTACTTGGCAGCAGGTCAGTAACATTACTTACTGTGAAAACAGCATCTTAGCGAGGCAGTGCTTCTCAGAAGTAAAAATAGGCAAAGTTCATCATTCAGGAAAAAAAATGCAAATTGTGGAAAAATCTTAGAATAACGCCAAAGTGGGCAAAATGGAGGCTCATCCGATCTGTGAAGACTAGCCTTCACAAGATGAGGAACGATTTTAAAAAGCCCCATGTTTTACTTGTTTTACTTAGAGAGAGAATCACACACCCACAGAGAAACTCAAACCCTGGGTCTGAGGCCCTGTGACTAGGGATGGGTATCGAAAACCAGTTCTTGTTGAGAACCGGTTCCCACTGTTTCAATTCCTTGGAATTGTTTGCCAGTTTTGCAAACGATTCCCTTATCGATTCCAGTCGCCCCGAATGACGTCACCACATTGCAGAGCATCATTTACCTGGCAGGAAACACGGCGCCTAACGCTCAAAAGTTTGATTATACTTTATGAGAACGGATGACAACAGGGCAACTTGCAATACTTGAAAAGTAGATATTTAATTTAAGGGAGGAAACACTACGAATACGCGATCTGCCTTATTACAAAACCTGCCATTACTGTGCATTTAGGTTACCATGATGAGAGAGACAGAGTCTGGCTGGCTCAGATGCTGGCAGTTCTCACTGCTGTCTACCGGTAGCGTCTCCTTTCAGGCCAGGATAGACGAATGTCACCAAGCAGTGACTAAGGTTGTGGTCAAAGGCTTGCACTCATTGCAGATGCCCCCGATTTTCAGTAAGTGAATGTGTTTAATTGTAGGCAGGGACATTACTGGATATTCTTGGGTAATTGCTACTGAATCATTTATGTTGTACTTTGTTATTGCTACAGAAGAATATTTATTTTATTACTTTACATTTATAATTGTTTTTCCTGGGGACCCTGTGACACCCCATTGAAGAGCCGTAGGCTGTGGATCTCTTAAGATCTCACTGTTGGGTTTGTAAGGCCATGTTACTCCTGAAGATATTGATAAGGTTTCCGAAAGAGACTCAGGCGCAGGCCAGGGTTTTCCTTTACAACACATACACCAAGTGGCTATATACAACGTGCAGGGAAACGGGTCCGGGTCGCCAGGGTCCGTGGGAAACAGGGTTGGGAGAAGGGTGTTCCACACTTTCTGTACAAAAACGTTCCCCCTCAATCACTCCTCTCCGCATCGGGTTCCAAAAA